AACACACACAAGTTTTCTCAAGACTAGTTTCGTCCTGCGTGGCGTTATTCTTCAACTTGTGTCGTTCCCTCGTATAGGCTCCCTTCCCTCTTGACTTGGTATGTCCATTGTTGAGGTTTGTACACAATTTATCCTTTACTATTTTTGTTTAATAGTACCGTACCACCTTGATAGTTGTTTTCACTGGTTTTTACATACACGTGGCTGCTGGATACAGTCGGAGATGTCAAGGGGCGAAACAGTCGTGGTTAAGGTCAGAGTTAGGGTAAGGGTCAGGATTATGTTGAGTTTTAAGGTCTACGAAAGGGCTAGGGTAAAGACTATGATTACAGTTAAATTTTATCTTCACGTAAGTGTAGGGTTATTGAATGGTAATTTTTGATTTCCAAAATATGTGCGAAGGACACCTGTTTGAAGTGGGCAGTCTGTCTCTGTTCCCATATCCTGTTTAGGCCACCTCGCGGGTCATCCTTATCCACAATGCCGATCAAGTAAACGTTTAGAAAATAGCCTGAATGGTTTTTTTTCATTGCACTTTAATCCAGATGAATCTCCGGGCTACTTTATGGCCTCTACTTTATACAGACTGGTGGAAGTTCACGACACTTCCGACACAATGGTGACAGTCAATCGCTTCCGAAGGCCAAGGTTACGCGAAAAGAAATCCATATCGCAAACCGTACAAGGAAGTTTTTTGCAGCAGGTCGTAAGCATGTTAAAGTAGCTGCCTCTACAAGCATACATAAACCTGCATTGACGACATATAAACCTACCCACCTACCTACCCACCCGGAGTAGAATGTACTGTTTTTTTGAAACAAAAAGTGCACTCTTGGCCTTGAAAATCGCAAAAAATGTTACGACTTCCTAGAGGTGACGCACTCAAATGCATCCTGTGCCAAGGAAAATACTGAAATGAAGGTCGCGCGCGCGCAATAATTTCAGGTAGGCGTTGGGGCAACAGTGACCAATCCAAATTTACTCATGTTACGTGAAGGTCACTCGATGGCAGAATGAAAGACAGTTTCTATTTCTGCACCCAATAACCACCGGTGGGGGACAAAGATGAAGACTGACGGACCGTTTACATACGTTAGATGACCTAACTCCTGCAAGGCTGTTCTGAAAATGCGAGTGAGTCGTTTAACACACATTTGGCCTTCTTATTTTTGATTTGCTGATTGGAGCTAAGGCAAGAAAAGCCCGTTACATAAAGCAGGACAAACAGGTTTGATTCTGATGCAATCGGACGTTGTGGGTATCAAAGAACTTTCGTATACTATTTGTGTTGTGCCAAAATAGTCAGTATGAGGAATAAAGACTTCACGTAAGTCCCTTCTGGAAGCAAGAAAGGTAACCTTAAATCAATTAAAAATCCGCTGTAAGTCAGTGTGAGGAATCGCTTTTTTTTCCAGAATCGGGGAACAAATTTAGTTTTAAAATCTATGTTAAATTCGCTAAAATTCCCATCAGAGAATTCAAAACAGCGGTTGACGAGAATTGGTAAGCTTTTGATAAATTCTCATCGGGAAGGAAGTCAAAGGTAAACATGCGGCAATTTCTTCAGTCATCGCATGCGAATGATTCATGGGAATAGGGGGAGAGGGGTTTGAGTATTCGTCTTTAGGCTATTAGTTACGCGCCAATGAGGGTTTGTTGAAACTGGGTCAGGGGCAGGTTGTTTGCCATAAAATACAGTAATAAATAATAATAAGTTTCAAATTACGGAAAATTCTGAATTATCCACCGGAATTTTAAGGACGATCTGTGACTTATTGTGATTCAATCTTCAAAAATATTTTCGAAGGTGGTGATGTCGACAAGAGGAGACTTCCCAAATCAGGAGTCAGGGAAGGCTGATCGGGTTGGACAGGGTTGATTGCGAGAAATAGCTTTACAAAAGCAGGCGTTACTCGCAGTCTTCTCAGGACAATTTTGTCGTATCCGCTGGTGGGATCACTTGACCCCGGGGGATGTCGTTTGTCGCCTGCAATCAAACAGGGAAACACTGCACACCCATTGGCACAAAGCTCTCACGAGGCAACAAACTGACCTGGAACGTGAGGAGGACAATGTGGGCAGCATTCGCAGCGGATCGAGTAAGAGCGTACGCAAGAGATTGTCACGCGCGGGTGTGCAAGACTTCGTAGGAGGCGAAGGAAAGACGAGTCATCGTCAGTGGTGCTGATCACGGGCTGCCAAAACTGCTATTAAAAATCCTGACGAAAGGAAATGTCTTTCTATATACAGAAGGTGACATGTTTAGGATTGCACCTAACAATCCTCTTCGTGTGTATTGCTTATGGCGACTTTTCACAATTTGGAGTTCGCTACTGTTTTCTAAAAAATTCAGTATTCTAAAGAAAAGAGAATAAATTTTATATTTCTGGTAAGTTTTAAATTTGTTAAAGTATTCTTTCAAGATTTTTGTGCATGCGTAAACTTCGCTTTTTGAATGATTATTTATCTTTCGCAAATATCGGCTAGCTACCATATATAAGGCTCTAACTTGAACTCAAAGGCACAGAGAGACGATCACGTCCCGTTACTTGATTAGTCAGTGTCACTATCATGATAGCGAATATGCCTGCTCACAAGGTACAAACAAAGGAGCTGTAAATGAACTGTAGGGCACTTGATTACTTAACGTTCAGTTATTTCGGAGCCGGGGTATAAATTCCAGGTCACGTAGACCTGGCCGACAGCGGTCAATAATCCATAAATATTCATCTCAGTCCCTGCTGTCTTCTTTTACATTCATTTTCTTCAGTAGTTTAATGTTTACCCCAACGCATATTCTATCCATGTTTCCGCTGCTGTCTGTCAAAACTGTGAGTGGTTCGGTTCCTCGGTTGCTTCTACAAGTAGCCACTGAAGATAACATTAAAAGAGAATAAAAGTCGATTTCCCCCCAGATCCACTTCAAAAAAAGTTAAAGAAACGGACGCAATGCTACCCGTTTTCTCGATGTCCAGGTATCAAAACAAGAAGAAGGAACCTATGACATTACTGTTGGTGCATATCTCATAAAAACAATTTAACTATTCTTCCTCCGTTCGGATTTTTTTAACCGAACTTCGGTCTGGGAAGAGACCACTTAAAGTGGCCAAGCTGAATTCCGAAACTCTCAGCTCTCGCAGCTGCCTGCACTTGCGCACCAGTGGTCCTCCAGGCATCCTCAAGGCTGACTCACCCACGCTGAAGGTGCTGTGACGACTCGTGAGCTTCGCCCTTCGTGCCCCGATGATGATAGTTTGGCCCTCGATTTCGGTGAAGTCCGCCATGTTCTCAGGAGTAGGGAGGGTGAATGTAGTCCGGGATCAGATTTAAGTGAAATAGATACGCAACCGTCTGCTGCATTTTGAACCCTCCGGTGACAAGACAGAGTCGAGAAAACCGAACGGGATCAGACCTAATCCGCTTTCTCCAATGCAAATCAAGACACCGCAGAGCTTAGCTTTAAGTAACAGTAGACTTTTGCGCTGGTACTACCACACCACTTAATCCCACTCATCTTCA